GCGGAATAATGACAGAGCGGGCGAGCGAGGAGCTGACGTCGTCGGATCTGGGCACTCTCGAATTGTGAGTAAATACATACCGTGACCGCGCGACACCCGTTGTGCATCACTCGCCGCTTTTCTGATCCTCCTCTGTTGCCCTCGCTCTGTTGCCGCAGCTGGGAGAACGCGTACGCGCAGGAGCTCGACAACTTCCGCGATCACGGGGACGTGGGCGAGATATGGTTCGGCGCGGCCAACGCACGCAAGGTCGTACGGTAAGCGTAGCCAAGGGCCGGCACGCGAGCACGCGTCTCGCACCGCGGAACGGAGTAAACAGCACTAGTGATGCGCGATTCTGATTCGATTATTTGAGAATCGATTCTTTTTCATGAATTAATCGTGATTATTAATCGATTATTCAGACGGTCGATTATTTGCGAATCGATTCTTTTTTCTTGATAATCAATTTAATCGATTATTTTCAGGGAGCCTATTGGCTCCTACACATGGGACGCAACACGCTTGCGCGCGGCAAGAAGCGACGCGGTAGCCAATCAAAGTTCGCCAACTGTCGCCGCGCGGTAACCGTTACCGTGTTCAGTTGCGCATTCCGTGTGCACGTGCAGCCCATTTTACTTCGAAAGTTCTAATTACGTCTTTATATTAAACAATTTGGTGTGTATCGCCGATTGCGAGCGACTTGGAGCTCGATTTGAAGCGAATGCAGCGAATAATTCCGCCATTACAAGAGTTCCCGGTCGTATTGTTTTATTATTAATAGAAACTCGGCGACGATTCGCTCGTTTCATTGTGTCGATCACGGCGGTGAAACCAGAGGTCGACGAAGACGAACGACAACGACGAGGACAATCCGTAAGTACTATGTGCAGCGTGTAAATTCTCTGTTAATGCTTTATTCTATTACCTGTTTGTAGTGTTTGTACCTTAGATTTACCCAGCTATTCTACGGTTTACTGCTCTTCTACAGGTCCTAAAGCATCAGTCGAAACAACGAGGTCTCGTATGAGCACGTGAGGAACCGTTAACAACGGCTACGCTCTCCGGCGGAGAACCTCGATCGATTTAGCTTTGCACCATATGATGGCCAAATCTAGCGACTTGGATTGGCAAATCGAGCAGCTAAAGAAGTGTAAAATTATCAAGGAGGCTGAGGTTAAGGTACGAGGTGCGCAGGTCAACTTGTATGCAAAAGCGAGTGAAATCCTGATCGAGGAAAGCAAGGTACAGCGTGTTGACTTACCTGTGACAGTAACTATCTCTATTTCTTGTAAACAGCTATCACTTGTCAGAATTTGACAATCATTAAATATATTTAAAGCCTATAGGATGTCCCAGAGATGACAACACGCGCCGAGCTACAAATTTTGAAAGATGCCTGTGCCATTTTGTGTCCAATCGAATGTGTTACCACGGAAATGTCGGGCGAGTCGTATGTCACGTGCAGCAAAATCATCCCCATCGTTAATTGCCTAGTGAAAACTTTGGAAAAACTGAACATTGAGCACGATATTTCAGACTATCTGCACAAAAATATTTTACGAGAACTTCGCAAAAGATTTGTGAATGAAGATTCAAACGTTGAAAAAAACGTTATGCTCGCTATATCCACTTTGCTGGACCCACGCTTCAAGAAACTGCACTTCCGCAGTCCATTAGCTGTTTCTACAGCAATGAGTAAGATATGTCAATTGATGAAAGAAAATCAGAGAGAGAGTCAATCTACTGCTGTCGTAGATAATATATCAAATACTATTGAGAAAACAAAAGATTTGTGGAACGTTCACGATGAATTGATAGCATCTTCATCAACAAACTGCGACGAGCCTGGTGGCGTACCAGTCGAACTTCGACAGTTCCTTAATGCTAATGTCGTCAACAGAAGCGAGGATCCACTAAAAGTTTGGTATAAACTGAAGGATATTTATCCAAAGGTGTACGAAATAGCCATGAAATATTTCGTGATTGTGGGAACGTCTGTCCCATCTGAACGCTTATTTAGTGCTGCTGGAGATATTATTAGCGCAAAAAGAAGCAGAATTACTGGAAAAAGGGCATCGGAGATTATATTTCTAGGATCTCTACCTAAAAAATACTGGACCTAAGTCACAGCGGTGCGACGTCTCACCCGTATACCACATTATTATTATTCAAAGTTTCATTTTGCCATAACTATTATTCATTTTACCATAACTATTATTATTCAAAGTTTCATTTTGCTTCGTTTATACTTGTACTTGATAAGTCGATTTTGGTAACGAGCGTATTAATGTATTCACTGCAAATTTGTGCAAGTGGGGTATTCTGTTGTAAAAGAATTTCGCGACTTTATGATGAACATGTAATAATTCTTTTTCGTTATTACTTTAGTAACCTTCCATAATTTTAACAAAGAGGCACTAAATTATAATGTCAATATCTCAGATTACGTTTGTATGTTATTTTTATGCGAGGAGTGTGTCTGCGTGCATTCGCCAATTAATGAGGTGACATAATAGTATCGGTACAGTAGTGTCGAACAAAATATATTTGCAAGTAATGGAAATAACGACTTTAAGTATATGTATATTTTCCTGTGAAAATATATATTTGAAAATAATTATTTGCAAATATATTTCAGCCAATATTGGGACGTACATTGAGATGCAATTATCCAGATGCGAATTAAGGCAAATGCTCCGAAAATAATTTTGTAATTGAAGACAGTATAGATATTGATACTGCATCTACAGCAATGATTTAAGTTTATTGAATGTGCAATTAAATAAAAATTTTATAGCGTGTTGCAATTACATTTGTTTTATTATTAAAAACCTTTGATTGCAATCAAATTCTTGATCTTAATCGTGCTTTATTTAAATTTTTACATCATAATTAGTCAGTCTAATGGCTTCAAAATCTTTAGATAAGAACCCGATTTTTAATCGATTATTTGAGAATCGATTCATTTTAGTCCGATTAATCGAATCGTAAATTCTTTTTTGCTAAAATTAATCGATTATGAGAATCGATTATTTTTAACGCGATGTCGCATCACTAAACAGCACACCGCGGTAGAAATCGATAAACTCTTTCCCGCGGAAACGCAAACAGCCGCGACACGATCGAGACTGTTCCCCGCGCGCCGTTACTAGTGGCGACATCTGTGAGACCGTGCGGCGTCCCGTCCTCTCCGTCGATAGCGTTTTCTACTGCGGATAATTGCAATTCACAATTCTCGGATTAAAAATTATCTTTTTCTAATTAAACTAAAGTTTTCCACTCGTTAGAAGCGAAACTATATGATAAAGGAAAACGAGCAACGATATAAGATATAAATAAGTAATATGAATAAACGAGATTTTTAATTTAATCTTTACATCCTATCGTTGCTCGTTTTTGGTCGATTATTTTTACCTATTTCTACTATTTAAATATATATTATAAATATATCTTTGAAATGTTGGTAATCTAATCATTTATAGATTGCAGCAAAAGTCGTGGAAACTCTCAGAAAATGCACCGTTACAAATTTGAGTAATTTTTATGAAAAATATATTACTCACCTGTCATTTTAACCACTTTGGTAGTTCTAGTATTTAAATATTTTGCGTTAATTAATTTTTTAGAAATATTAAATATTTATGATTTAGTGCTCCTTGAAATAATTCGTCCGCTCTTTTTCACGCAGCTCGAGATAATTAGAATGGTTAAAAATTGTGTAAAATTTCGCAGTCTCTTATTAGTATAATTTTACTATATACGTGCGTGAAATAAACAAAATTCTTTATATTACAATTTATATCTTTAATGTAATATACAATATAGAGGAAATAACTCCATACTAAAGGAGAATAATTAATTTTTCCTGAAATTTAGTCTGTTCGAAAACAGTTTCCATTATTTTTTTGAAAATGTTTAAAATAGACAAAAGCAAATAAAACGAATGAAGATCGTTACGTGTAAAGCTTCACAAATATATCAAAACTGATATAAAGAAAGTCATTTTCTAGATGGATCGCCACGAAATTGGATTTGAACAAAGAGAGCGATAAGATGATCGACGTAGGATGCGGTAATGCGATGACTTTGGTGGAACTCGCGAAAGAGGGATTCACGAACTTGACGGGGGTGGATTACTCACAGAAAGGGGTGGATCTGGCCCGCATGGTGCTGAACGATAACAATTTGCCGAATGTAAAGATCGAGATCTGCGACATACTCAACAACACGTTGCCGCATGATTTTAAAGTCGTTCATGATAAAGGCACTTACGACGCTATCAGTTTAAACCCGGAAGATCCGATGGCAAAGCGACAGAAATATATGGAAAATATACACCGCATCCTTTTGCCAGATGGGTATTTCGTCTTGACATCCTGTAACTGGACCAAAGAGGAACTGCTGAAGCATTTTGCGAGTCGTTAGTACAATTATAACTTAAAATTTTAGTATCTGTTTTTGAAGTAAATATTAAACAAAGTATTAATTACAATAATAACTTAAAATATTAATTATATATTATTATTTATATTATTACAATATTTCCCTCAATCAGATTTATCGCGCGCGTGCGCGATGACGTGTTTACAATTTTTTGGATTATTTTATCAAAGACAGGTGTTGTTCTCGTAAAAGAAATTATCGCTTTCGCATCATTATCTTGGAAATATTGCGAACATAATCTCTTGGGATGTATGTACATTATCAAATATGTGATTATTGTTCGCAGATTTCGAACTCAATAGTGAACTTCCTACGGATACCTTCCAGTTTGGTGGACAGAAGGGAAACACTGTAACACAATTGGTATTTAAAAAAAAGTGACGATAAAAGTGATTACATTGAGATAAATAAAATAATTGTGTTTAATTTATGAAGAGATTTTCATTTTATCTTCCAAATCTTTTACACTAAATACTCCTTTTAAAGAATAAATAAGTATTGCGAAAAGGTTCAAGAATTTATTTGTGCAAGAAATATTTAAATACATAAAACGACAGTGAGATTAATATCTAGTACTATAACGTCTTCTTGACCATTATCACATTACAAAGTTTATACAAAATATACTTACACTATGATAAATTAAACTACGCGATTAACCTATATGCGATTACTAAATGTAGAGAAAATAGCGGAGAAATAAATATGCATATCATCTACCGAATGCATTTATTATAATAGTATAATTAGCAATAGTGCATATTTTTCACAAGAACTTATTTCGATGTCGCACATCCAAATCGATTTGCAGATTTAAAACAAAATTGATATAATGTTTGATGAACGATTTAATTATTACTGAATTTTAAGATTAGAATTCTGAAATATTTAGAAAATTGCATGTGGTGTGCAACTTTGTAGGAATTTTGTGAGCATTTTATTAATAGATCTTTTTTACTTTCTTTTAATACGCTTCATGCATTAAGGAGAATATGTCTTAAGAATAAATTATGCTAACTATAAATATATTAATACGTGCATCTTTGTGAATGCTCTTATCCTTTAGAGTGCAGTTAAAATACGAAGCTTTTAATCATGTACACTGCAAAAATTTACTATCAAAGCATTATGTATTCTGTTACTTCAGACTCTAAAAGTAGTCAAATTCGATATCTAATAAATTTTATCTGAAAAACGTTAACGTTATATATTCTTTTAGTCTTTCACACTCGTGTTGTGATCATTACATGTAACATTACATATAACAGAATAAAAATATCGTAATAATAATGAAATGGCAGACTATGATCACACATCAAACACGAAAAAATTTATATAAAATAATGAATTTGGTGTTTATCCTAATTTAATTGCCATTATAACAACTATAACAATTTTTTCTAATTGTAATAACTTTAAAGCACTCGTTGTACTAAGAATATAGGCGAGTACGAAGAATCGCGAGATCGATTACTTATTTACGATTGATTTATAGTCACAAAGTGATTCAGAATTAACGTTTATTT